GGGTTTTCTAAAATGACCTCGAAGCCAAAACTACAGGGCGTCGTCTTTCTACACAGTTCCTCTCTGTCTATTCGCTCTTTAATAAAAAGTGTTCCTTTGTCTCGGTTTAAATCGACGTACTGCCGGCTGCCCTTTGTAATGATACGAGCTTTACCTGATACAAGCCTTGTCACATCCAATCCTAAATCTCTTGCAATATTTCCGACCAAAGAACCTTCGGCCTGCTCCTCGGGAATGGAATACCGAGCCTGACCAGTCACTGAGCTGATATTCGAGAGACAAAGAATAACAACCACCATTTTCCATCGTCCTCTGCTACCGACCGCAGTCATGGTGAATCAAAAGATGTCAAATCAGTAATCCGTGTCAAGGTAACACATGTGTGGATAAATCCACGACTTGAGAGAGATATCTTTAGAGTCAGGGTAGATATTTAAGATATATTCCACACTTAAAGCCTTAAAGAGCCTGAGCGTCGTCTTTCCAACGAGCTACGCATTGAATGGTTTTAAGGGGTGGACCACTGCTCTGTCTTGTCTGACTTAAAGTCAGTGATGTATCAACAGCGGCACTCAGAGTCCATTCAGGGCAATGAATTGAGAGTACATGTAAAGTAGAACATTTTTCAGTACTGCATTATAGAAATGTATTAGGTCATGGACAGTGTTACCGCTTTAATAAAATAAAGACTTTCGGGCTCAGGGAACACGAAGAATAAACACAAATGTCTAAATGGTGAACAAGGAATGGTTTAAATGTATTCCAGTCAAACGGAGATATCACCACACTTACATTCCGGTGAAAGAACGATTAAACAACCACTGAGTAAATTACAAAAAGATACAATGAAATAAAACGTTTTGAATAGGGCATATTGACTGTATTTAGACCAAAACCTTTTTTACAACATTAAAATTGTTACATTAGTTCAATTAATCATCTTTATATCTCAAAATACGTGGTAACCATTGCAGCACCATGGACAGCAGCATGACGCTGCTGATCAGCTGATAGCCTCATCTGAGAAATTCCCCCAAAAACATTAAAAAAAGAAATAAAAAGGGTGAGAGATGACAATTAGAAAGCTGACAACAAAGAAAAGCTTCCTGATTAAGTTTAGTTTATGGAGGATGGATCTTTGTTTCTTTAATGCAGGTCACAAATCTGATGACTGACTTACTAAACTTTACATTAGAAAGATAATAAAGTTGGAGTTTGAGAACATCTAAAAAACTTACAAGGTAAAAATAAAGTGTAATTGTACCATAAAACAAATAACTAAACTGAAATACGTAAGGAAATAGACACCAAAAAAGCAGTTGAGAATTAATTAAAATTATTATTGTTTATGTTTTCCAGTAATGCAAAAATAGTAAAAGGAAAAAAAAAAAATCTGAAGGACGTGAGACCAAATATTATGATCAAAATATAAAGAAAAGTAAATAGGTTTGAATCCATAAAGCTACACATTCTAACTCACCTCTAGCGGAGAGTCTGGTTCATCCAGGATGCTCTTCTCACTCTGCATCCGCT